GCTTATAGTTCAATGTATAAATACAATAGTTATTGGTTTGAATCTTGTGTTCTTATTTATCTATACTATATTAAAAGAGCCAATGAATCTGTAAATTTTTGTTTTGCCTAAATTACCCTTATTTTGTCAAATTAATTTTGTAACTAAATATTAATAATTTAATATTACTAATACACCACCACTAATCTTAATCCTAATTTCTAAACACAAAACAACGATCTCTCTGCGAAAAAAAAAAAAAGGAATCGCACATCGCACACAGGTGAAGAAATTCGCAGATTTAGATCGTGAAATTCAAAGAAAGCATTCGCAGGTGTATTTCAAATTGAAATTGAAATTGAAAGAAAGCATTTGCAGGTGTATTTTCTTACTGCCAACGATCGTGAAATTCGCAGGTGAAGAAACAACGATCGTGAAATTGAAAGAAATTCGCAGATTTAGATCGCACACAGGTGACGATTTCTTTTGTGTTTCTCTTTGGATGTTTTTTTGGATGCCGGTTCTTTAATTTCGACAAGACCAACTAGACGCCGTAAGAATACCTGCACGGCTACGACTTCAAGGAGGGTTGAGAAATATTCGGAATTTCACATATTATATTTTTCAGCGTTTTTCTCATACGGATTTGCCCCTGAATCTGGTAAATCTCCCGTTTCTGATTGTTGTGTTTCGACTGCTAGGGTTTATCCCCTTACATTTATTAAAAGCTGTGTTTTTTATTAGTATTTTTCTCAATTTTTGAACTTTTGTACCCGATCTGCATTCACGTTTTCAGCTTATTTAACAAATGCTATATCGAAAATGATGATTTGGTTCTGGACTTTGAAATGTTTTTGGTTAGGGTGTTCGATTGTGTACTGTATCGTTCATGGATGTGGTAGACTCATTGAAATGTGAAGGGATTTGAGAGTAATAAGCTTAGCAAATGGCAATTACAGACTGGCTTCGTTATGAGTCCGTTATCACCGGCGGAGTCCTGATTTTTATAGTGATTGATGACTTCACAGCTGATCAGTGTTGCCATAATCGAGTATACATTAGTTGTCTTACTCGGCGTGGATTATACGGCGTTTACATGATGGAATGTGGATTCTATGCCCGATTTACGATATAAGTTACTTCCCTGGTGTGTTGTGCCCTGCTCCAACCTAAAAAATAAAAATAAGGAAATCTAGGGAATGCTTTGTAGTTTGTAATGTCATTAATAAATTTTTATAAAGCTTAAGAAG